TCTTTCCCTTCTCCCCAGGCAAGAGGATCTTACAGGCATGATGCAGTAGTTAATTTTAGAAGGATTTAGGACACCTATGTCTGCAGCTCTGTGGTCTGCCCGTTGCTCCTTGCAAGAGACTTTTCTGTAGGACTGCAATGGGGAAGAATGTGTGTGCACAGTACTGCCAGCTTCTACTGGAAACTGAGGTGTTGATGTTAGAACAGTTCTGCATTTGCTCCTTGCTGCCTTCTCAGTCCTGAGTTCTTTAGGATGCCCTCATCCCTTGCTGAGCTTCTCTGTGGGGTTACAAAAGTGCGAAACACGTTCCTTTAAAAAGCAAGGGGTGAGGTTCTTGCCTAGTTATGTGACCTCGGGAGCTGAAGCTTTAAGGAATGGGGAGGAGAAAACTAAGTAGATGTTTTGGGGCTTGCTGTGGAGTTGGGAGAGCTGGTGGTGGAGCACACAGTGAAATTTGGAGATGAAGATGTGTGGGAGTGGACTCCAGCTGCTGTGCTGGGACTGAGGCAGGCGGACAGGCAGCCCCCCCTTGCAGCTGGGGCTGCTATCCCGCGGCCCTGGTGGGCAGCCAGGCACTCCTCTGCATTTGCAGGGTGCAAGCTGTCCTGCAGGTGGCACTTTTCCCAGGGCTCTCTTTAAGGTGTCCTTTGCATCCTCTGATTTCTTGAGAGGCACCAGCTCTTCCTTTGACTTGGTCTTAGGACACTCTTGGGGAGCTCAGCAGATGGAGATGTGGTTTTTTATCCTACCAGGAAAGCAGTTCACCCTGCTCCCTTCTTGGAGCACTGGGCTGGCTGCTTTGTCCTGCTGGGGTAACAGCACTTTCATGCTGTTGTCTTGTTTCAGGCCAGCAAGGATGCTGCTCTAGATGACTGACTTGCTGGGCCCTCATGTGCTATGGCTCTACATGGCCTCTGCAGGACCAGAACACGCTGATCTGCACCCCAAACTGGAGAAAAACATCAGGCTCAAGTCAGACGCCCTTCTGGCAGGGAGACCTCCGCCACACCAGGCCTGGCACTTCACTCAACAGCAGGCGAAACCCATCTGGAATTTAGAGAAGAAGTATATGAGTGCTTTCCAGAGCCACAGCTTGCTGCCCTCAGGGATCCCCCTGCAGCAATCCTGCTTCTTGTGTGCACCGTCACTATGCCATGCACACCCTGGTGAAGATGTCCTCCCGAGCCTGCCTTTGGACCAGCCCTGCCCAGACCTGCGTGGGAGCACTCTTCTCGACCAGCACTCCTGCCTCAGGCCAAAGTCCTGTGGGTTTCTTTTCCCAAGCCCTCAGGATGCTAGCTCTTCCCCGGGAAGTGTGATGTCTTCCCCACTGATGGAGCCCAGGTGCCTGCCTGAGGTGGCAGAGGAGCACTTTGGGACCAGGGTTGAAGGCTCTGCCCTCAGCTCGGATGAGCAGGCTTCCAGCTCCAATAGACCAGTGCTCAATAACGACTCCTTCCTACTGCCAAGCAGTGCTAAAGTGCCTTTGCTTCAGTCACTGGAGATCAAGAAGGTGAAAAACACCCAGGACTTCCCTGCTGCCTCATGGCCCCACTCTGGGAAAGATGGAGGCAGCTCCCACATTGGCCTGGCCAATGGAGCAATGAAAAACAGTGACATTGTGCTGGAGCAAACGGCAGCTGCATCCTCGAGCCTCGTGCCCAGCAGTTCGATCCTCAGGAAGGACCAGTCCTCACGGGAGGACTCTGAGAGGACAGGGCACAGCTTAAGAGAGGAGGAGCTGGAGGCCAGCCTCACAAAGGCTGTGCAGCAGCTAGACAGACAGACTGACACACACAAGAGCTTTAGACACAGAGTGAAAAGCTCTGCCCTTACAAACGTGGACCCGCTGTCCAACTGCAACAGCAGGTGGGGGCAGCACATCATAGCACAGCTCACCCAGCAGGAAACCATTGCCCCTGTGAAACCTGAGCTATGTAGCCATCACCTTAAGGGTAACTCGAGCCTTGCAGGCACCAATGGTGCCACCTTTGGCACTAAGTGTGTCAGTGCCCATCTCTTGGCCTCACGTGCTGGCTCTGCTGACCACAGCACTGATGGCCAGCTTGGGAGCACGCTGGGCCCATGTGACAGGGACAGGGTGGCAAGAACAGAGCCTTCACAACTCGCTGCTGTCTCCGAAGTGGCAGCTCAGATGTCCACCATCCAACTAGAGAAAGAGGAAAAATGGGCCTCACCTGTGCTCTTGGAAAAGCTTGAGTAAGTAAAGCCAGGAGGAGAAGGGAGGCTGGGATGGGCTTGGGTTGCCATTGCATCTGTATGTGTTGGGATCAACTGCCCTGGGCTTTATGTGGCCATAAGGATAACCATGGGCTGTGTCCCTGAGCAAAACCCACCTGCTGCATTCTGGTGTTGGGGAAGCCTTTCTGCCACACCCAGCTTGACACAGGTACTCAGAGTGGCTCCAAGCCCTCCCACCTTCTCCTTCAGCCATAGCCTGGAGTTGCTGTGTGGCATTTGTAGCTCGCTTCCTACACAGTCATGGGGCCCTGCTTCTGTGGCAAGCTCTGCTTGTATGTTGGAGGAAGCCTGCTATCAAGTGGGGGCCTGCAGGATTTTCCTAGACAGAGACATGAGTTTCTAAAGGAATATGGAACTGATGCAGGACAGGGAGGGCACAAGGACATGAAGCTCCCACTCTCCTGTTGGGAGAGGTTGTCCTTATGCCTCTTTCTTTCTGGCTGCTCTGAAAAGTGTTCTCTTTCAGGATGCTCTGGGGCCTTTGCATCTTGCTAGCTTGGTATCCATATTGTACATCAGCACTGGGGAGGGTAATGCTGTCACTACTCTGCCCTTGTTATCTCATGCTTCCTCATGGGCTTCCAGGCCATGGAAAGCACATGTCACTCCTGATGTCATGTCCTTTATCCCAGTGTCACTGCTGAGCAGCTGCTGCTGGAGCTGAGCCATCCCCAGGATGAAGTGGATGAAGTGGAGGAAGAACTTCCTGATGGCCTGGATGACAGCTGCAGTCAGGAGGAGGATGATGAGGACAGTGAGTGCTGGTTCTTGGGGAGGGCTCTGCCTTTCCTTCAAGGTGGGGAGTGTGGGACAGCCTGGGAGTCAGGGGTGAGCACAGCTGCTCTCCTGCCTTGCATTCATGCTATCATTTCAGGATGACCTAGAGATTGTGGTGAACCCAAAAGGGATGTAGCGGCAAGGGGGAACTGCATGGGTTCCTCTGGGGAGCTGACTAGTGTTCTCCATTGTCCTGCTCCAAAACTTAGCCATCTCCTTTCTGTGCAGGACTGTCAGTTTCACTCCCTGCCCTGCCTTTTATGCCACTGATTAGTAAGCAAAACTCTAGATCCAAGGATTTGGGGCAGCTGGGAAGGGTCTGTGCTCTGGAGCATTTGTTTTCTCCCCACGAAGATAAAACTTGAGTCTGTCCCCTTCTGCAGGTGACTTGGAAGGTTCCCCTGTCTCTGGCATGTCATCCAGTGGCTCTGTGGCTCTTGTATCCAGGTTAGTAGTGGTAAATAGTGCACTGCACTTGGCATATTTGTCCAAACTTGTCCCCTCCCTGGTGGCAGAGGAGAACTGTAATGTGTGGAGGAATTGAGTGAAGGTAGCAACAGGCTTTCCAACCAAAATGAGCTTTTAGTTACAGATTCTGGTATTGGAAAAAAAAAATAGTAAAAGGCTTTGGGGAAAAACCCCTTTTTTGCACTTGGCATATTTGTCCAAACTTGTCCCCTCCCTGGTGGCAGAGGAGAACTGTAATGTGTGGAGGAATTGAGTGAAGGTAGCAACAGGCTTTCCAACCAAAATGAGCTTTTAGTTACAGATTCTGGTATTGGAAAAAAAAAATAGTAAAAGGACTTAGGGAAAACACCTCTTCTTCCCTCATTCTGGTCTCTAACCCTTTGCTACAGGCTGCACTCAGTCCTTTCAGCAAGGCTAGGGGTGGCCTTAGGAGAATGGGGTCAATATGTTGTGGTTTCTTCTGCTGTTTGTTCCTTAGTGGATTGCTCTGGTGTCTCTTCTTCCACTGACTGCAGTGACTCATATTTGAATATACATTCATTATAAACTCTACTTTTAGTGTCATCATAACCGTAATAGATTATTATGTTATGAATTCTACCCTTCCTCCCAAGCATTAGCAATTGCTGTGGTAAGAAGGTGCATATATAGTCAGGAAAACCGCAGGATTCTTCCCTGCGATACATCAAAACCAAGAGGGCTACAACAGCTAAATCATATATACATTACAACCTCCACCCCTTGTTCCTGTGGATTAGGTTATAGGGTGTGTTATACAATAAACTCCACCCCTTGCCCTGGCACAATACAAAACCCATGAGGGTTACAACACTTGTCATGTGCATTTGTTGAAGCTCACCCTGTCCTTGCTGCAGACTGGGTTACTGACCTTGGTGCCCATTGCTTGCACCACGTTGGGATGATGCAAATTCCCGGTACCAGAATCAAGGCTTCCGCCTTCCTCCCTATGCTACTTTTCACCTTTAGCCAACTCCCTCCTGCTTCATCTCTCTTAGGAACTACATTGAGTGCCTGGCCCAGCCTGCTGAGGCTCAGGAAAAAGAGCTCAAACCAGCTCTTGTCTGCAGTTTATTCCCTAATGTGCCTCCAACCATCTACTTCAGTACTCGGGATGAAACAGGTGAGCTGGGCTCTGTAGGTGTGCAGGGTGAGAACAGCCAGCCTGTTATTATCCAGCAGCAGTGTCAGCCCAGCCAGGAGCTGGTTGGCAGCAGCTCCCCTTCACCCTCCCTGTGATGACACCCAGCACCGCTGTGAGATCCAAAGGGCATGATTAAAGTGGTGGCTGCTCCTGGAGCAGGAGTCATACTGCCGTCAGATGTTCCAGCATCCTGGATCTCCCCCAGCTGTGGAGTCTTCTACTCCATGCTAGTCCTGTGAAGGGGGCTCTGCACTCTCCTCTGCATGCTTGGTGCTTGTGCAGCAAACTGTAAGAATTTCCCTGGGTGCCGCTGTAGAAAATCTGGGTCTTGTGTTTGTTTTCCTTATGGCCTTATCATTTTGCTTTCCTAGTGGAAAAGCTGCCCTGGGAGCAGAGGAAGCTACTGCGATGGAAAATGTGCACAATCACGCCAAACATAGTGAAGCAAACTGTTAGCAGGTCCCACTTCAGAGTCAGCAAAAGTAAGTTGTGAAGGGCTGGCAGCTGTCATGTCATCCCTCATCTCCAGTCCATGGGCACCAGAAGGCCTGTAAAGAGCAGAGCGAGGGTGATACAGGCTCAGCACTGCAGAAAGCCAACAGTGTCCTGGGCTGCATCAAAAGAAGCATGGCTTATTCCTGGCATGGACCACAAGGACTTACTTCTTAGTTGTCAGGAGCTGAGGCAGCATGTGAGGCAGCAGAGCTGTGCTCCAACTTGTTTAAGCTGTGCCTGTAGATGGTGCTGCCACTCTAAGGAGGCTGGCACTCATGTGCTGCCAACCACAGCATTGCCGGCCCTTGTCCTCATGTACTGAGGAAGAAGCCATCCTCTCTGACCGTAGCCAGAGAGTTCTCAAGTTTGGGATATTCCCACTGCAGAGATGTGGAGGAGCTGGGGAAGCACTGAGCATTTGTAGTTGTGGTCTATACCCTGGAATGTGATATCCCAGCAGTTCTGCAGGGCTCCTGCACATATTAGGAGACCTCTGTGCAGACTATTTTGGGATGATAATGGGACATGCAGGGCAGAGCAAGACCTAGGAAGTCTTGCTATTTTATGTGTCCCTTAGCAGTGCAGTACTGATTAGCCAACTACTTGATTCATCAGCCATAAATCAGGGAAATCAGAGTACTGGGGAATTAAAGCCATTCCATTGACCTTGTGTCTTCCCAGATCCCTGTAACAATCATGTTTGCAAGGATATGACCCACCTGGTTAACTAGATCCCACTTACAGCCCTTGGTTTGGCAGCTTCACAGTAGCCAGTATGAGTGATTTGTGCTATTGCTGTGCAGCACCCCTGGCACACTTCTGCTAGACCCAGGAGATGGAGTGCTGGTGGGTTGAGATGGCTTTGTGAGTGGCAGGGTAGTAGATCATGGACCTTTTTGTTTTTCTTGCAGAAAGCAATGACTGGCTGGGCTGCTGGGGCCACCATATGAAATCCTCCGGCTTCAAAGCCATCAAGGAGCACCAGAAGGTAGGGGATGTTTTGAGCTGACCTCCTTCATGCACACGGAGTGCATCTTGGGAGCAGTTTGGGTGAAGCCTGAGGGGAGGTTCCTAACTCAGACCACAAAAAGATCAGGAGTGGCCCATGGTTTGGGGAACATGAGAGGGACCAGAGTTTTGACACCTATCACACATACATGTTTGTCCTGGGGAGGCATGATGCTCCAGCCTACTCAGTCTTGAGGACAGCATTCAGGTTTGGAAGCTGGCAGCCTCCAGACCTGTTCCTGTCCTGCTGTGGGGTCTGTGTGTCCCCAAAGCTTGTGCTGTGTAGGGAGGACTTTGGCATACAGTTTAGAAGCAGTGGGGTGGAGGATACTGCCAGAGGAAGCTCAAAGGCTGAGGGTTAGTGCCTTGCAGCTACTCAAACATCAGAAGGAGCAAGGTAACAGCTTCTGCCTTTGTAGCCAGTTTGTGTCACCATGAAGGTGTTTGTCCCTGCAGAGCTTCAGGAGCAAGTGGGTCCTGTCTTGGTACAAACCTAGCAGGGGAACAAATAGCATTACCCTGCACTGTGTTCAGAAAGGATGTATCCTCTGTCCAGGGAGCAGAAAGGGGTGGGCTGGGAGGTGGGGAAGCAGGGAAATGTCAGAACATTTGGGTTCCTTTCCAGCTAAACCACTTCCCTGGTTCATTTGAAATTGGAAGAAAAGACCGTCTGTGGCACAACCTGTTGAAGATGCGGGCTCGCTGTGGGAAGAAGGAGTTCAACTTCTTTCCCCAGTCCTTCATCCTGCCCCAGGACATAAAATTACTTAGGAAAGCATGGGAGGAAGGAGCTGGCAGCCAGAAATGGATAGTGAAACCAGTAAGTGCAAAGCAGAGCTCAGTCCCCTGTCCTATTGTACCTTCAGAGGGGAGATCTTATCCCTCCTTGTTTGTTTTGCAGCCAGCATCAGCAAGAGGCATTGGTATCCAGGTCATTCACAAATGGAGCCAGCTCCCCAAAAGGAGACCACTGCTGGTACAGAGGTGAGTGAAAGAAAGCAAAGTTAACACACAGCCTGGGACCTCCTAGTGTGTAGCCTCCCTGGCCAGGTCTGAGCTATTGCCACTGTGTGGCAGAACAGATGCACCTGATTTGAATCTGGAAACATTTTGACTGCCTGTGTCTAATGCTGCTGGAAGTCTGGCTATGTCAGCTGCAGCTGGGCTCAGGGGGTGCTGCTGTCTCTGTGTGGGTTTTTGAGGTTTCAGGTACAAACTGAGCTCCATGAGCTTTCTGGGGCTTGCGTCTGGCAAATGATCAGCTCCAGCTCTGCTGTCATCCTGTTCCTGCTGCTTTGTACTCTAGGGTTTGGTATCTTTGGAGGCAAACAAACTTTATCCACTGCCCACAAGCACAGTGGGAAGAGAAGTCCCAGGGAAGATGTGGCAATTTTTAAATTTGGTCTTATCCAAGTTAGAATGGGTCAGTAAGAACCTCTGTGTGTGTGGATGTTGGTCAAAGGGTTTTCTTGAAAATCTCCTTCCTCTTCTGTAGGAAAATGGAGTAGCTTGTCTTGGTTTGAGGCTACTTTCTGGGAAGGTTCTTGTGAGAGCAGAAAAACTGTCCAGTGTATGGCAGATAGGGAACTGCTGTGTTGGCTTGTCTGTTCTCCCTGTCTGCTTCCTGTGCAAAGTGATAAGCTTTCCTATGGAAAATCATGAATTTTGGGGTGAATAATCTAATGATTTGGCTTAGAATTTCCAACTGTTTCTGCTCATTGAACCAAACCATCTGTGGGCCACTGCATGGCTCAGATGTTCCTGAATATTGTCTTGTGGGTGTGGAAAAACTACTGTGCTTTAGAGCAAGGGAAAATCTCTTCAAAATGGAGCTGGGCAGAAGGGAATGCTGCTCCTGGGCTGTGGGATCTTCCCATGCACAGCAGAGCTTTGTTCATCACATTTTGACTGTGGTGCTCATAACTTGGAAGTGCTGTGCATAAAAGGCTTCTGCATTGATCCCTGTTTTTGCCAAATTTTCTGAGATGGGGGCTAGAGATGTTCCTGCACACAGAAATTGTAACCCTCCCCTGCTCCTTGCATCCCTCTGCAGGTATCTGAACAAACCCTACCTCATTGGCGGGAAGAAGTTTGACCTGAGGATCTACGTTTACGTCACTTGCTACGATCCCCTCAGGGTCTACCTGTTCAAGGATGGATTGGTTCGCTTCGCCAGCTGCAAGTAGGTTGTGCAGGAGGGCGGTGCTGGGAGCTGTAGCTTGCTTGCTTAAGAAGCAGTCTGGAAATACGCGGGGTCACTGCAGGTGACAGTTTTGAAAGGGAATGTGAGAGGATGCTTTGTTATCCACCTGTCTCAAGGCAAGATCAGCTCAGTGTAAAGCAGATCTTTAAATATGGTGTCTGTGCTTCCTGCTGCCTTGGAGCAGCCATACCAGGTACTGAGCTATTTCTTGCAGTTTTGACTGCATTGCCTCAGGCTGCTGCAGTTCTGTCACCGATGCTCTGGTCTTCTCTTGAGGACATCCTGTGAGGGTGGGATTGCATCCTTCTGCCCAAAGGCAGCCTGCTCTGTGCCTCATGCTTTGTCTGATCATCCCTGGGCCCACAGGGACAGAAGCAGCCTGGGAAAGGGAGACAGCAGGGCTGGCAGGTGGCCAAGAGTGGTCTGAGATGAGGACAGAGTTTCTGCCTGCCCCATGGGCCTGGGGGCAGCCAGTTCAAGCTCAAGCTACTTCTGCTCCTGTTGCCCCCTCCAGGTACTCCTCCTCAATGAAGACCCTCAACAACAAGTTCATGCACTTGACCAACTACAGTGTGAACAAGAAGAACGCAGACTACAAGCCCAACTCGGATGAGACTGCTTGCCAGGGACACAAATGGTAGGTGCTGTTTTTAGGGCACTGGGTAGCTCTTCCTGTTCCCTGTTAAGTCAAACTTTTTTCAGTATTCCTACCCCAGATTTGAAGGTGTTTCTTGTATCTCTGCTCTCACCTGGGGAAACTGGAGGAGCAAAGTGATTTTAGCAAGGTTTTGTGTCATTGAATTTGGATGGTCTCTCTGGCTTGTGACTCATCCTGTCTGCTGCTGCTTGGGCTCTGGCTGCCTTTCATCCTGTCCCTGTCTATGCAGTTCCCTGTTTCCAACACTGCTCTCATCTGTGTTCATTCATCCCCTTGCCCTATTGTGGGGGCGATGGCATGTGGTTAAAGCAGTATCTGATTTTTTTTGCTGTTAGAACTTGAATGGGTAATTGTGATGCTTAAACTGGCCAGATGGAAGTTTCTGCCCATCTCACTCTTGACACCTCCCTGTGGAGGCAGAGAAGGGGACAGTCCTGATGCAAAACTGATAATTTATGTGCTACTCAACGTGAATAGGGACAGCAGCGCCACTTCTAGGTGTTTGGGAGTGGGGCTGCAGTATTGCAGGAGTTCCTTCCCTGCTCTCCCATGGGTGGACTGATCCAAGGCCCCAGGCACTTATCTCTGATTCCACAGTGGTTTGAACTCTTTTAAAAATAGTGCAGGATAGAGTTCTCAATTCATGGGCCTGGGCAGGACTACTTCACTTTAAAGGGAGCTGCAGAAGGTAGTTTGCTGTGGTAGGATTGTCTGAGACCCGGACCTGCTGCACAGTGGGCTGCTTCTTCACTGGGACTTTGAGAAAGGTCTGCTGTTCCCCAGCAGTTGAAATCCCACAGAGGTGGGATTGCGTGGGCTTTCAGTACTGCCATGCCAGTCAGAGCTGGCTGCTCCCACGTTAAAGATGAAAGTGGCTGTAATCCATCCACTCCATCTTGTATGCAGGAAGCGTGACCTTTGGATTCCTGGCCATTAGCCACTCGGTCTCACTTGAGCAACATCTGAGCATCCTTGGCTCCATGTCAGGGCAGCTTGCAGTGCTCGGTGTGGTGTGGGAAACTCCTCTAAAAGCAGAGACCATCCCCCCTGACATCTTGTTCTCCACTTTTAAAAGAAAAAATTCTCCACCCCCAAAGCCTCAGTGAACTGACTCTAGCTAAAAGATTTATGCCAGTCTTGCTGAATTCCTGCT